GTCTAGGAAAGTTTCAACAGGTAAATGAGAACTAGTAAGGCGTTATGATGACATTTTGACTTAGTAACGGAACCTGGATGTTTTCATTATGCGGCAAGCGGGATTTCAAGAATGAATTCGGATAACGGAATGCACGTCTCTAAACATCAATGTTTTTTGGTAAAAAGGCTTTCGTTATGCCGTTATCAATCTATGAAGCTCTGATTTTATTAAATATTGTGAAAACGTTTTATTTAATACCTTCTTGTGATATGGGTACCTCGACTGAAACGGGAATTGAAAAAAAAACTATTCTCGACCAGCTACAATAAGACGAGTGGGCTGGATCGAGTACTACTGAATATAAAATCATTGGCCACATTATTTGATGGACGTAAAGCATACCTTTAACTGTGAAAGGCCTGTCTAAAAGGCAGAAGATGATGTGATCGCAGGGACCACGGGCTCCAATATGTCACGGAATCGAAGTGTCTCCACATGGCCTGATGGGTTAAACTAGCTCGAAGTGAGATCTATCAACTTGACCAAGTTGGACAACATCCCACATCTGTGCGATTCTCATATGAATGAGAACGAACTTTAAACCTTGTAAGACGAACACACACTCATTCCCAAGGGGATTTAATTTGTGGCACAAAGAGCAATACCTGCGAGACACTTGATGTAAGGGCGAAACGAAAGAATGAACTCACTATCGACCGGATTTAACTTCTGGAACCGGAGTTACAGTGAATCCGTGAAGAAGAATCAGTCCTTCAGCACAGTCATCCTGATCGGAACAAAGAGAGGGTGGCAGAAAATAGAATGATCGTTAGGGATGACAGTTATGAAAAAAATGAATAAATAAAATAAAAAGCATGCATATTTCATTTCATTAAGATTGCTCTAAACGAAGTACACAATAATGGTTCCGTAATGGCTTCACAAAAACGCACCTCTGGATTTCGATAATAGTACAGTGTGGAGTGCTTGTAAACACACCAGCGTTTCACATATTTGCTAACAAACGCGTTCGACTTTTTTAACCACAACCATCCTTGACAGTCACCACGACCCAGTTCTTTGCATGAGATGCGCCGACCTTGGTAAACAGAAAAAAAGCAGAATAAGCAGATGTGAGAAGCGCAACGAAATAAAAGTGGAATTCGTGCAACGAATACCGATTGACCAATGCAAGGTAGGAAGTCACAATTGTCTGTGGAGTTATATAAAAACATGATGACAAATGTTTTGACTTTATTTTTTGTTTAATGATTATATACATGAGCAATACAGGAAAGGGGCTGCGGGCATACAAAGGTTGTCTGAAATCTTTGAGAAGGGGGATGTGAAAACTATAAGTGATTTCAATCTCCACGGATAAGAATTGTTCACGAGTTCTAAGAAGGACCAAGCATGGTACACAGTGCTTCCGAAGGTTTTTCGGTGGTGTGTGCGTAACAGGGACACGATGGCTCTGCACGAGGAGTTTTTTTTAAACTAGTTAACCACCTGCTAGTTGAATACCTCTCGTTTGGTTGCCACAAGCGTAGTACCTTATTTGCACAGACTGTAGTGCTAGACATGTTAGATAGACCATCAGGTAGGCGTGCAATATTTGCAGAGGCATACAGCGAAGAAAGTTTGCGTTGGTCAGACACGAAGTCCACGGGGCTCAGTTACATAGATCGTGATCAATCTAGTGAATGGTCAGAGATATGATGTACGTAAACGGCAGTGCCTAGACATCTCACTTTCTGTGCAAATCCAGTTTGATAAAGTTTTCAGTTTCCATCTACTCGTTCTTCATTGGTCAAGTAGGAGGGCAGTCGAAAGACAGAAAATAAGAACATCGCAGATTGGTGTACGGTTAATGGTTTTTCAAAATGAAAATGATGCGACTGAGAGCCCAAAAAGAGATCGCGATATGGAAGGTATGTGTGGAACACAGTGTGGTAATTTTGGTTCGACCTAAGCTAGCCATGCCCCGCATTCCCGCTGTCGGATCTGGTCATTGTCAAAGCATAACAAAGATTGTTTCATGCGCTCCCCTGACATCTTTCACGAAAATGAAAACACTACAAAAAATCCCCATTGGTTGTCAGAAGCCACCCTGTTGCTCAGTGAGATATCAGACCTCGGGAATACTGGTCATAGTGTGTTTCTCCTGATTAATCTTGTATACAGGAATTAGTCTGATTGGAATCAAGTTCGTAATCTCCAGCTCCAAGATACACCTGATGTGAAACAAATACCACACTTTTGTTATCCGATTATCGCGACAAACTCATCATGACCCATAAATCACCAGCCCAACGTAGTGCATCATGATCTAAATCGTCAATAAGACCAGGATCCATGGGATACCAATTATAATCAATCCCTGGTTGTAACTTTCGAGTTGAAAGGTTACGTACGGCTGGAATTCACTGAGAAAGCAAGCTACTTTCGGTCGTTAAGTCCTTCATTCGTTAAATGTTTTTTTTTTGTTACAAAGCGGTGTATTCACAGTGACGTGTCTCAAAACGGCTGATGAGCATCTGCCATCAGACAGTTGTGCCGAATACACCAGCGATATACACTATGATCTAGCGAAACAACAGACAATCATCGATTTAGGAATTAACCGGAATCTCAAACAATAAAAAAGATGATTCATTTTCCGTGCATGCGTGAGTGTGAGCAACCGGTCCGTTTGTAAATGTGGGGCTATTAGTGTCAATTTTGAATTCCTTATCAGCGACGGTTAATCAATAATGATAGTCGTCTTCACCGCATCGTTCCGGAGGTCGTGTGTTCGAACGCCATCAACACCGTCTAACATTTTCCATCTCTTTGTATCAGAAGATGGTCTTCTGATTGCCGCTTTTTCTTCTTGAAAATGTTGTTTTATGATCAAGTATTTAACAAAAAATGAACTAAAAGAATTAGCGATCAAAAAGAAGCGTGTAAAACAATAGCAGGTACAGTGTCTAAGCTACGAAAAACCGATTATAACGGATCGCATCGTCGTAGCACAGTGATTAGACGAGGATGCATTTTTCGATGGTAAGTTGTGTTCATTCACTTTGCAGAGACAATCTCTAATCAACAAACGAGTTATTCACAACATGAGAGCATGGATTGATTTAATGGACCTGAAAGTCGAGTTTTGAAATACCGGGAGAAGGGGGGCGGTAAATTCCCATTCATGCTCACATTCAATATGATACCTGGTCTACCTGTAGGCCACAATCCGCCTTGACCAATCGCACCATGTTATGACTGCACATCCACCAATCAGATACTGATATTTCCGGTCTAGAGACGAAAGTAACATATGTGACTGATTTACTTCTTGTCCACGCAGACTGTCGAGTAAAGACACGACGGTCAATAACAAATCGAACAAATCACTGATACATAGTCAACACACTGGCACGTGACCACAGGGCACCGATTCAGACACTTGAATTTGCTCTCATCTGACAGTCTTGTACTTGTGTACTTGTTAACCACAAAATGATCTGGTTTGCACAGAACTGTATCGATATTATTATCTGACGAACTGTGACTTAGTACGGCTTCTATCAACTACTACAGTTCGTTGACTACAGTCTTGTAATCTGGTATTTATTCACTGATCTAAATAGAACAAAGAGGTGCGCAAAACATTCACAGCGATTAAAAGCAGACCATGCATATTGTGGTAGGCGAAAATGACGAACTAGGTAAAAGTATTATTCAGCTAAAAAGATTGCATGGTTAGGTGAGAAGCTGGACAAAACTTACTGGCTTTCCGTGGCCCAAATACCAGCTTACGGAGACGCCCGATATCTTCCAAACTGCCACGATGCACCTGAGTGGAAAAAGGGTATATGATAGAGCGTGAAAGGGAACCTCGGACCACCACAGACTCGATGCATGAACATGCTGCTCAAGTCAAGCATAACATTCATTACATGAGAGCAACAGGACAATTTGATCCTAGTGCGTTGTGAATTTCGTAGTCAACATCGCTAATGAATTACGAACTGCAAAGTTAGAAAGTAATGCACACCTGCTTCGATTTGATTGGATATAATGCGTGCGTTCAACCTGCAAGGTTCCGGGTTCGAAACTCAGTTAGACTGATGTACATTAACACAGATGATGAGACCCAACTAGGTCGAAACAGCTGAAGCACAGTGTTTCCTGGTTTTTCAGTTCACGCCTCGATAAGTCAATACACGGTGAAATTCGTCATATACGTTCCTAGATTACTGAAAAATGGGAAAGCGCGTTAAATTCAGCATAAACCTTTGCAACACCAATATAAGCTACAAAGGTGAAGCATACATATATATATTCACACACGTCTGAATCTAGATTGTGTCAAACAAATAATGGTACAATAATCTTTGTGAGAAAAGACGTTCCATGATTTGCATGTGGGCGGAATACCGCCAGGTTGCCCAGGCCAAGACAGGTGAGTCACCTTGAGGAATCCACAACCAGAGCCTTCGGCTAGCCAAAGCCTAAGCCGCAAGGTAGTGGGGCGGTGTGTAAAAACCGCAGTCCAGTGGGGGCCGATTCATCAGATCATACGCCCTTTGGACGAGGTCAAACGTTCAAGGATGCCCAATTGAACCGGTGACCATTGTCATAACCGAAGAGATGTGGGTGTGGTTCGTAGGCCTCCTCTTGGTTTATTTGGAATCAGGGTTTTTAGTCAACGCCCCTAAGTGAACCACCAGTGGTCCACCAACGCGGTTATAACCCCGGTGAAGCACGGGACATAATTAAGAAACATGGACATATCTGATGAAAAACGCTCCACAAAAAGGTTGGGACGAAACAAGTCAAGAATTTACTTTATTTATCCATTGTGGATACAGTTTTAGTGAAAACGAATTTATCATATTAGCTGTAAATAAGCACGTTCAATGACGTGCTAATTTTTCTGAAGATTGCTATAAAGAATAACTATGAGTTTCGCTCCTGCGAGAAGGAACTTCGTGTATCGAAATAAAATGAGAAAAACTGACAGGGGGTAGAATAGCGTTGGCGTCTCAGTCGTTAAGAGTAATTGACCCAAGTTAATGGGCTTCCAATTCGCCTTAATCATTGCATTGTGCTAAGGTTGTTGTCAGAACCGAAGGCTTTGGTTGAGAATTCTAATTGTTCTACTGTTTAGTGGCTAGACACCCTAGCAGTACACGTCCATAAAGACTGAATGTCGTCTAACCCCAGCTCTGATGCTTGATGGTCAAGAGTTGGTTACAGTGGATTTTTCCTACTACTTAGGTGGTTGCGCGACAAATGACGGTAGTCAAGAAAGTAACCGCTCGCATTTCTAAGGCACGCGCAGCGTACGCAGGAATCAAACAACTTTGGTGCCGACGAAATGTTTCCTTGAGACCGAAAGGTTGCGCATACCGTGCCAGCGTGCGATCAGTCCTTCTTTACGGTTGCGAGACCCTCAATTTGCTTATAAGGATATTCATTGTCTAAAAGTCTTCGACTGACGATATTTATTTAGTTTGGCGCAGGTTAGATGGGAAGAAAGGGTAAACAACTCCGAGGTAATGATTCAGTGGAAAATTCGTGGTCACACAGAATTTGCATCGGTAAGTTTCGCTGGTTAGGACACGTATTGCATATGCCGAGCTGTCATCCACCGCATCGCGCCTTATTCGTATTTGCGGCTCAAGGTTGGGGGAAACACAGAGATTAATAGATGACGGGGAAACGAGGCATGAAGAGCGATTAAGCGGATTAGGTGTCTTCCTTCTTCCGGTTTGGGGATCTGAAAGACTCTGTATCTGGTTGGATGGAGACATTGAAGGGTACGGCAAGTGACCGACAGCAGTGGCGTTCTTGTTGTCGTTTGTAATCACGTCGGAATGCTTGAAAATTTGTGTGTGTGTATATATAGATACGTTGTGCACTCTGTGTGCTGACCATAGAGGTTCACTCACTCTGCTTTCCTCGCATTAGGCCCAACCCTATTCATCTTTTACTTTCTCACTTTGTGCACATAGAGAGTTTGGCAGCGACCAGCGAAATTATGATGATGCTGAACGTGCATATAATCGATCGTGAATGCAACGGTTTCATTGCTTACGCAAACTGGTCGCGAAAGATCTAAGTAGAATTTAACTACTAAAAAGTAACATGATTATAAATGTAGAGAGATTAGCATGACGGCGAAAGTTCAGAAAACGCTCAAGGTAAGTATAACGTTGTCGATGTACATTCCTTTCGGGTCATCACAAATTCCCCTTATTTTTTGCTGGTTTAAAAAGTCAGCAGATGCGATTGCTCCCTAGTTTTTTGAGAGGTATGCAATACTCATCTTGAAGGAGACCGTGTCGTCGAAATAATCAAAAGACCATGGGCCAAATGAACCAGTTTCGCCTTAAACGATTTTTTGTTGACTACGCTCGGCGGCGACAGGCTAACCGGTTGCCCATTTAGTCACCCAAATCCAGCTTAATCATGTCTTGTGAATAATTCGGGAGGAGACTCAAGTTTTAAACCAACGGATAATGCTCCCATCTGATGCTTGCAAACTGCAGAGGTTACAAAAAGTGTCAGCCTCTTTGGGTAAACCACCCGAGGTCGAAACAGATTCTCCAACTTCATTTTATTGGAACTGGAGGTTTTCCGTACTAAGTCGAACGAGAAATCAAAACATTTTATTCTGCCGAGTTAAAATGGTCTTCTTACGAGTGTATTTTTGGATCACTACTTTAAGCACCCTACTATCTCAGATCTATTACGCCAACAATGTGTCAGAAACGTGACTCCTGCAAGAACATGTATAGTTTTCGATAAGGGAAAGCCTATGTTCCCCTCCAGCATTAAATATTTTCCTTTCCTTTTCACTACTTTTCTGTTTTTATAAAAATTTGAATTTCCAATTGTTCGCGAAGAAAAAACCTTATTCTACAACACCGACCGTGAATGCTTTAATTGTTTTGAACTATCTAAGGCCACTACTGTTGGCCGTCCCCGAATATGTGCACAAACAGATGAGTTGTCCATTACCATCGCCTCTCGCCTTTAGTCAAATAAACAACCTCACCCGAAGGCCTACTTTCCGTACTTTACCAGGTTGGGCTGCGGGATCGTACAACTTTCGCAAGGTATTTTCCGATTCTCCTGGGAATTGTGCTAGGTACCGCAATTTGAGTCGTCCCGACTTTCAGTTGCGGGTTCCTTGATCCAAAGTTTGTCGATTCGTACCGTTATCCATGGTTAACAAGAGATTTCGGAGACGGGGTACTTTGTGAATGCCACGCACCATGGCCACCATCGATTCTAACATCAAACGTCTGTTATAATGGCTTTGTCCAAGCGGGTCGGCTCGCTGGATCAGCATGCTCCTTCCAATGACCTCTCGTCATTGC